TTCATATTACTATGAAAGTGAACTTCACTTTCAGGTAAGATGACAAGAAACACTATCATTACTATGAAATGTAATTTAAACTTCTTGTCAGGTTTAGTAACTAATTCGTTAAACCAATTAAATTTCAATGTTTAACGCCTACCACTTTTAAATTTGATATATTTGATGTCTGTTAGTTATACGTCTGGTATTTTTAATCAACTGGCTCGTAATTTAATCTTGGTATTTGTAATGTGACTCATAACGTAATTATTTTATTATATCACTATAATATTGTTCAGTATGTGTAAATTTTCTTCAAATAATCCTAATAATTGTCAAGCTTTTCATTGATTTCATTAAGATTTTTAATTAGTGTTATAACTTTGTCGGTTGAATGCTTATTGTCTTGACTGTTTTAATGCTACTTTTTGTATCTGATCGTCTCTGATTGTTATGTTGGAAACGCTTATCACTTATACTCAGAACGAGGGACGTCTGCAATTCCCACGACGCAAAAGTAAGAACACAAAGACTGGTATAAGTGAAGATTAATTAACCTCAAAACACTATGACGACGACGACACTAGTAGAAAATACATTCATTTATATATTGATTGTACACCCATTTTGATGAATAATTAGGATGAAATCACATATATGAAAAATACTTAGAATTATAACAATCCACATATTGAGCATAGTTCATTTCAATGGAATACAAGAATATCGCATATTATACAGAATAAAATATCATACGAGAAAAGAAAACAAATACTACATTGAGTAATCATTACATTGAATCAAAATGGACGTGATGTTGAACTAAACTCATAATGAGTAAATAAATCGTAAACTGACTTTTCTTTCCATCACATCAATTAGGAACTATAGCAACAAAGAATCCTTGTTGTCTATTTTTTTCAAAAAAATCTAAAGTTTAAATTCAATGTCCGTAGCTGAAAAGGTCCTTAACTCAACATCAAATTTAGATAACGAATAAAATCTTTATATTTGGTGAAGTTTTAAAGATCAAACTTTTGAGCCTCTACAATGAATAATTAGATATAATCATACTTCGGAATTTGTTGATTCGGTTGTATCTTTTATTCATATCATTCAAACAAAAACAAAAAAAGTGTTGCCTACAGTTTTTCATAAAATTTAGAATATCTGAATGTACTTAGTTTACCGCCTACTCATTATAATTAATAATGAGTTCGCCAAAATGAAGTAATAAGCTAACGATAATCTTCTTTTTTTTTGTTATTGTTGTTAAGACATACCCACTGATAAAAATTTCATCATAACTTATTACTTACGTTAAATTATTGAATGTAGTTAAAATAATTAATGTAAAATTCATTTATTATCTTGAAGTTCTATGCTATTAGTACATCAATCAAAATTTTAAAATTGTTGTGTTCAACCAGTGACTTGGTATTTTTTTTTTCAAGTTAGATTGGAATAGAAGACTATGGGGAATGCATTTTCTAAAGAACTTCAGAAACTCTATTGAGACAATTATTGATTGTTTCAACATTTTCCAATTCTTCTTTCAGTTGATTTTAACTGACGATAAGATTATATGTTCAAATTATTGTTCAAAATAATAACACATTTAATCAAAAATCAATTAAATAGCATTGAAACACAATTGTATAATGGGAATTTTCCAGCAAATAAATAGTATTGATTAAAAAGGATAAACAGATTTGATTATCACTATAAGGTTTTGGAAATTGTTGAGTTTTAATTAAGATTATGAAGTGATCAATGTTAGATCAGCATTGAAAACCTGTAACCACGGGACGCACTATGGAACGCCTCAGAAGTGCACATCCATGATCCCGCAAAAAATTTAACATCATCCTGTACATCCTATTTATTTTTCAATTTATTTCTATTATTCACACACATCTTATTATGTAATTTTCAATGGTTATCATTTTAACAATTTTATTTTCTCAAGTTTTGACCTAATTCTTATCACTACACGTACACCTGTCAACCTATTAAAAATTTGTACCTTTTATTTATTGTGGTTAATTATTCAATCGTTTCCACTGCAATCACCAATTTATCAATTGCCTTTACTGAGAAAAGAGACCAGTTTTTACATAGTGGCAAAAAATAATCAACAATATTTGTATTTACTTTACCCAGTTTCATCCGTCACATTTAAATATTTTAAACTGTTACTGTTTGTTTTTAAAAATAATAACTACTTACTAAAAGAGTCTGTCAAAACTAGTTTCGTGGTTTACACCACGTACTAACCATTGGAAGCCAGAAAGCACTGGACAACTGTACTTTGTCTATTTATAAAACTCCTCAGTAGTTCACATCCACGACCCCGCCAGGGATCGAACCTAGGTCCTTCAGATCTCCGCTGAGCTTGAACAATCAGTTTAAATAACTTTAAGTTTTAGACGTTTATCCACCACAGGCAATGGAATTCGGTGGAGCAATATCAGGGATTAAGTGATGTTAACTAAGTACACAAATAGATCCCAGCTCAATAATCTAATGGTTAAGAAGTTATAGTGAGACCTGTGGGTCCAAGGTTCGATATATAGTGGGTTCGTGAATGTGCACTGTTGAGGTTCTCTATACGAGGACAATCCAGTTGTCCGGTGCCTCTTGGTTTTCGATAGTTTTCCAACCAAAACTATTCAAAACTAATAACTTCAATGGGAAGATTCGAATAATACAAAATGAATTTAAACTTCACTCAATTGTACAAGCTAGTGGCTACCAGGAGTCAATAGTTAAGTGGATAACGCAATGACGCTTGGAGCGAACGGTACTGGGTTTGAGTGCCGGGTCGGACATCAACTTTGGGATGCAGCTATATCCAGCCGATGAATTCTGAATAGGACGAAACACGCGTCCTGGATCTCACTTCTAGTCACCATCCATCTTTGTGGCTTACGACAATATCGAGGCGATCCGTGCAGGATACACATGTGCCAATAAATGACTGATCAATTGTAGTCATAAACATCAATGGGAAGATTCAAACAAACAATACAAAATGAATTTATAATTTGTTCATATTTATTTCAATAGTTATTTAAAGTTGTTTACCAACAAAAAGAAGTGATAAAGTTAATTTTTGAATAAAATCTATTTTCATAATACAAACTTTGTTTTCATTTATACGATTTATAGAATCACAGTGTATTATTAGCTCATTAAATTAATGTATTTTGTAATGCATCTATTAAACATCTAGTTATATATTGAAGTCTCTAGTTTTTGTGTCCCAATTCTTGAGATCGTGCGTCTGGTACCGAATAAGATTTTGATCATGGACTGAAGGATATTTTAAGGCTCAGATGAAATAGCTGCTTAGCTTTTTAAGCAATATATTTTAATAAATTAGCACTCATTACAATTATATCTGGTAAGATATTCAGCGGATGATACATAATCGAGGTATTACTATTATTGGGCCCTCTGAGTGATCGAAATTTAGTGCGTATACTTCCAATGTACCTGGTCTTCGTGTTTGATGACTGAATTGATAAGCAGTAAGCCATGAATCCAGGTTTCATGTTGATTATCACTCCTCAGTAGGACATATTTATCATCTCGAGGAAACACTGATATATTTAGGGATGTCATCACCCAGATATTTGGACTGAGACTCCCCACCTATTCGATTAATACGATAAACTTAGTCCTCCACGTAGAAATGACTAAGGTTCAATTAGTAATGTTATGACCTTATGTCCGGCTGGTTATCACGTGATTTATCCATCAATCAAAATACGCCTTATACAATTTTAGCACTGTGTCAAACCAATGACGTTCGACCGGTATGAGCAGCCTAGCGTTTTATTTGGTCCTATGTCTGCCTAGCACGTCCATGTGAGTCCAGAACACCAATATGAGCTTCCAATATGCGAATCGAATCGAATCATTTATTTCAAACATACTGGGTTTATATATCAACCAACAGACCGCAACGCACAATAAAATAGGAAATAACATTTGTACACAATAAAGCCAAAAAGTGGCTGTGAACGTTGGAGGCAGTAGTCAATAAACTGAACATAGCTTACGGACAGTAAATCGTACAATAATAAATTATAGGTCGAGATGAAGCTTATAATATATATACATAATCTAATTATTCAATAATTATACCATAAGAATATGTAGATAACATTAGTCAATTAATGTCTCAGAAGTTACTGGTGATTAAATCTTCGCTCGGATATAACAAGTAATATCCATCAAATTTATTGATTACGTAAAAATGAGGCTCACACATTATATAGTTTAGTATTACATTTGCTTCCAACTACCTAACATCAGAAACGTGAACCGTGATACAATTAAGTGGTTAGACTTCCCATTGATAGGTAGACTTCTATCAATACTAATGACTAGATACTTGTAATTACTCCACGATCAGTTAGTGTGCTTGCTTTTCGGCGTACCTACAAACTAATTAAAGTCTCAACAGTTGATATGTATACTGACTAGCTTAAATACCAGAATACATTATAACGATTACAGTTTGAACGGAAGAAGTGAACCTAATGCTTTCATAAATCATGTACTCCATTTTTGGTGGTCATATGGTTTTAATTACTCACAAAAATCAATCAGTTTAATGCATTAGCAAACTGAAAAACTTAGTAAATATTTATTTCTCACTGATGTTCATTGTTATTTTTATGATTACTTCTAGTTATTAATGTAAATAGCCATTAATCTGAAAACAAATAAATAAATAATTTTGGCACTAATGTTGTAAAACAATTTATTGCACACAGAAAGAGAATTAAATTTTTCTGTGATAAAATCAAATTGTAAATAGTAAAATAAACGTAAGATTGGTTAATTAGAGTAGTATGATTTATATATATATATATATATACTACTTGAATACTGCGTGGGTAGGCGAATGATGATGACAGGACATGTGAACATATTGGTGTTAGTTCAAATGAACAAATAAGTTAATAGGTGTAGCTATTGTTGTGTATGTTTGGGTATGATAGAGTGAAAGCCTGATCAAAAAATCAGATCTCGTGATACTTTGGAATCTTAAACACGACACATATATATGCAAACATAATTATAATATTACCACATACATATATAGATGTGTATGAATATGTACATTTAATTAGAAGTTTAGATCCACATTGTGTTATTGAGAAGTCTGGATATATATTATATGTATACATATAAGTCATTATTTGCAAGATAATATGGTTTCATTAAATTAATATTATAATAAAATAAAAGTTGGACAAATACATACCTAACAAAGCCCGATTGTGAAAACACCAATAATCTATCCTATCATAACAAATAACTTATACTACATTCTTTTAGCCGGATAATGATCAGTAAAAATCATAATTCATTAGCAAAAGGACACTTAAGACCAATAATTAATGCCATAAAAGAGGATGATTTAAATACATTCATTAATGCTACAAGATCAGTGAATATTTCTACAACATTTGATTTCGAAACAACTGAAGATACGGTAAGTCGAAAATGATATCATTGTTTTAAGAAACATATAATGGATTTATTCAGATGTATCTTATTAATTAGAGGTGTGTTTTATTTCCAAATAGGGATAATAAATTGATAATTAACGCTGTAAGTATACAGCTATTGAACTGAGAGGTACACAAGTCACGAATGTCAAGTTAACAATCACTGTGTTATGTTACCAGATGGGAAATTAAACCGGAAAATAATAAAGCATTGTCAGAGAAATATATAACACTAGATCATGGAGAGGCTGAATGATGATTTAAAATGTATAAAAACATGTAGAAATCGTAGTTAGAGTTCGCAATAAACTATGTCTGAGATCATACTATACGACTGAAAGTGGTTGGCAGCAGAGCGTATGCGTTAACTTTTTGTGTCTTCCTCTTAACCGAAAATAACAACGGTAACCGCGTATGTTTTTATCCTTCTATATCATCTATTTCTGTCTAGTTCCTATAAACTTTCAGATTTTCCAACTACAGGTACTCATTCACCTTTTTCTAGTTAATTTTTCCCTATGGTAGTTAGAACTATGAATTAAGTACCTGATAGTTGGTTGTCTAAGTTTGAGTAGTTATTTTATTACAGTCAAGTTCTTACCTTTAAAATATGTCAAAATAATCTCAAATATTTATTCTGAACACTAATTATGAGGAGTCACATTTAATAGAGTAACATTAATGTTTAACTAAGCGCTTTGTAAAGTAGTGTTTCGAAGATGGTCATCGATTTGAATCATCGGATTTTGATTTCAATGGCTATGAGTTATCATGCCAACAACTAGGTCTGTAGGTTTTGGATGTATTCATTGTTAAGAAGCTTTCAGTTGACTTGACAGTTGTTCAATGCATCTTGGTTAAGTAATGGTTCTTCGGTTGATTTCATACTAGTACTGAGTTACTTCCTTTCTTACCAGATCTCAGACACTTGTGATTTCGGAGGTAATTTTTATCATTTGGTTTACGTAAATCTCAACTATTTAGTAGTTTATATATAGTATTTATTTCATTCATTGATTCATAACATCAAAGACCTTGTTGAATAGATTGGATATTCATTGAATCTAATATGAATAACTAGATAATTTCAGCCAGTTTCGTTGAAAATTTTGTTTACTTATTTGAATGTCTAACCGAACAAATTAAATCATATAGTAATAGAATATTTTTTTACCAATGGAGGGATACTCTTTTGTAGATAGTGATTTTCATCGTAATAATTAAGTCTTTTGACATTGACATTCCTACACTCTTTTAATGCTTTGTTTTGTCAAATAGGATTTAAAATTTATCCAAATATTTAGTGATGTAAATCAGTTTGCGTCGTCATTTTAGGAAGAATTTCTTTGTAATAGTATCAGATTTTGTTTGTAGATATTATAACAGTTTATCTTCAATTCATTTTACTATAAATTGTTATCAACTTGCTGCTTTCTAAGGTTCTTCATTAAATTAATCAATTTACAGTGCTGCACATCCATAGTCTTTTACCATCGCTGATTCTTATACCAAACATGGCCGAATTCCATATTTTGCCATTTTTCAGAAGAATTTCGAGAATTCATCTCTATGTTAGTCACTGGCTAACACAAGATTATTATCGATATGTAAGGTTGGCTGAGATTGTTAAACTTATAGTTTATATCGCCGAGTGACAGATTCATTATCTGTACATTTCGAATGTTTAATTCGATAAAAATGTTACCACATGATAATGAGTAAATTCTTTTTTTAATAAGAAGAAAAGAAGCAATGTTAATGGTTTATAAAGTGAAAATATTATTAAAAGTATTGTTAGTGTTACTTTTTAAAAGTTACTAACCGATGTAATTCTATTCATATTGATCATTTATGAAGTATATTCTTTTAATCGTTATTTTTATGTCTAAATTCTACAGTATGATAAAACATTTTTGAAAATAAAATATGTTTCTGTGATTGAAGAGTGATTTGTTCAAACAAATTTTTGGAATCCCCATAATCATCGAACTCAAGTTACATGTTCGGTTAGGACTCATCACTTAGTATAATGTGTTTAGAATTGATTGATCACTGAAAGGTGACTAATGTCATTTATATCGAATCGTATTTTAGTTTTGATCAAATTCTATCTCAGACGGGTTTTGTGGACATCATAGTAATTTAAATGGTTAAGATCATGAGTCAGTTGAAGCTAGACCACCATGGAAAACCTGAAAGCACTGGACGGCCGTTTCGTCCAATTGTGGGACTCCTCAGAAGTGTGCATCCACGACCTTGCCTCCTGCAAGATTCGAACCCAGGACCTACTAGCACTTAACCACTAGACCACCGAGCCGGTATCCAATGGTGTTAATGTCTAACTTCAACTAATCCACGAAATTGAGTGACACATCTATCTATTAAGTTACATTCTTACTTACTTCTATCTTGAGATTACTTTTAAGCGTAGTCTGCAACTTGACGTATAGGAAAATAACCTCAACTATTATTTAATATTAATGCAAATGGATATTATGCAATTTCCAGGTTACATAACATATCTCATATTGTCTATTATTCTACTGTATCAAAAAATTAATCAGTATATGTATGATTGTGTTTTCTATCAAACTGGCTTAAATAATAGTATGAGTACTGTTTGTGTTTCAAGTCAGGTTTAAGTAAATGCAGATATAACAGAGAAGTATTAGAAATGAACACCATATAGAAAATTAGTATTCACATACATTAAAAGAACTTATATTCTTTTGTTCATTGAAATTCTTGACTGAATTTTAGTAGAAATCTATTTCATACAATAATATATCGCTGTTATTAAAATGTATTGGAAGTGAACAACTGTCAAGTTGTTTGTTTTTCTTAAATTTTAAACTAAGGACTTTTCATTCCGCTTTACTTTGTAACTAATGCAAAAACGGTAAAACATATGGACGAGGGTATAATAACCATGACAAATTTTTTAGCCAGTTTTCAGTCAATCAAAAAAACACCTTTCGTGAACAAATAGTTTATGATGAAAAAAACATAATAGTATAACATAGAGTGGACAAATTTCATATATTTAGTGAGACAGTTGAAGTTTTCCAAGCTTTTTCTATCTGTTCGTATACAACACGTTTTTTCAGACACTTATAAGGTCGAAAAACGAATTTTAGGACTAAATAAATTGTTCCTGGATTAGAAATTAGTGTTAGGATTTAAGATTAAAGGTGATTATTATTAGCTATGATACAAGAAAACTTTGTAGCTTTATGGATTGGGAGGGGATTAGGGTTAGGAATTTAGGGTTCATGATCTAAGGTTTAGGTCAGAATTAAGAGTTCGCTGTTAGGATTTAAGAGTAAGGTTGATTTGGAAGTTATATACATGCTACATTTCGAGAATTAGGCATTTGGTATATCTAACACTATTAATTCAACTGTATGGTAACAAGTAAGTTTTTATGTTTAAACATTGTTACACCATACTAAGGCATTTATACTGTACGTCATACGTGAAATAATATAAAAATCACATATTCTCGAAATTAGATCGAAAACGTAAATGTCGTTTCCTCAACTCTGATGGGCTCATTTGTATAGCATACTTTTACCAACAGTACCATATACATGATCATATAGAATATATATATATATATATATATATATATATATATCATTACACTAACTTTTAATTCTTTTATCCGTATCATTTTAATTCGCGTTAATTGGAAATAGATTATTTATTCTATGAAGAAGAAACCTATACCAAGTCTTAAATCATCAGAATTTATACTATTGTTTCTTTATTACAAACAATTCACTGTATTTGAAATTATCGAGTCAAACTTTGGTAATATTAATTGCAACTATCTATGTAACTTTATGATTTAGAGTTTAATTAATGTGCTATTCAACGCAGAACAATATGAATTACTATTTTATAGGCAATTACTGTATAGTTTTGTTTCGTGTGATCTAGATACTTTCAAGATCATAAATATAAGGAATTCAATAACCAGATTAACTTATTTACTTAATTTTGACTGTCAACATAGAGTTTTGTGTATATTGTAGAATTTTCCTAGTTCAAACTAAAAGCTTATCTAATCTGACCTTAGTGACTAGTGGATTTTATTCATATCGCGTGTGAGCCAGTTATCCAACGCAAAATATTATGAATTGATTGGATTTAGACAGTCACGTCATTGGATTTCAGCTCAATAGTCCAGAGGTCAAGTGCTTCCGTATCACTTAGTTAACATTTTAACCAGACTGTATATGTGTGTAGAGTAGTTGTGTGATATATACTACTTATATTGACTGACATAAGTAGTATGTAACACAAATCAGAAGTGGAATGATTGTCAGTAAAAGATTGAGAAGATTCGATTGAAGAGAACAGAAATACAAATAGAGAGCAACTGTAATAAGAACAGAATTGAAAAAATCACGGAACATGTGACAGACAAGTGAAGGAAAATGTGCAAATAATATATTTAATGTATGGTTTCCATGTTTTGCTAAAGCACTCTGTAATGTTGCATGAAACAAAAATTTGGTCTTCCCCATCAACTATTTGTCCACAGTTGGGAATAAATCACATAGCAGTCATTAAATAACTTCTAAGTTATGTGACGGAATTTAATATATTTCCTTAAAATATTCTTTTAAACCAGTAGTTAATAACTGCATATAAGGTGAAAATATCCATAGAGATATCACGAAATAACTAATGTTAGTTTTTGTATAAATGTGTTTCATCATTAAAGAGTACCGCTATTTAATCAGATCATTAAATAACATGAATAGAATGATTTATCATAAATTTCTCATCAAATATTATGTGTGTTTCCTTCAAAAAGTGATTTTAGCTGTGCACTAATTAACCAAGAGATATTAACTCATAGTATATTATCTGTTTCACAGTACTGGTTAAACTTACTTTATCAGAATCATAATATTATCATTAGGATGTGTTTGTTTTACAGAAACATGTTACAAACAATATATGTCATAAAGAA